GTTAAGTTTTGCTTCTTACCTTTTTTTTAATGCTTTTAAAAGCCCTTTATGTTCTGGGCAGACTCCAGTTTCCTGTTTCTGTTTGACAGTTCTTATTCCTTGTTGATGAATGTGCAGGTCTTAAATTTAACTGAGCTTGAGCTCAACCGGGTTGATATTCGAGTTGGGTTATCTGGTGCATTATACTTTATGGATGGATCTCCTCAAGCAGTACGGCAGTTGCGTAACCTTGTTTCACAGGTTTACTTTCTGCCTCTGTAATGAATTCATTCTTTGTCCTCTTTGCCCTGTCTTCTATTGCAATGCATCTTGTTTTTGGTTGTAATCTGCTTGTCTAGAATCATCTTGTTTTCTATTGCAATGCATCTTGATTTTGTTTGTTTATCTTGTTCCTAGGATCCGGTACTTTGCAGTGTAACTGTGGGTGTCTCCCATTTCGAAAGGTGCTCTCTTTGGGTTCAAGTCTTATACTACCCCTTTTATGGAAGTGCTGCTATAGATTATGAAGGAGACTACATCGAAGAAGATCCTCAAATCATGAGACAAAAGAGAAGTTTAAGGCCAGAACTGGGAGAACCTGTAATTTTAAGGTGTCAGCCATACAAAATTCCGCTGACTGAGCTTCTTATGCCACATAAGATCTCACCGGTTGAATTTTTCCGTCTGTGGCCCAGTTTACCAGCCATAGTAGAGTACACTGGTACATACACTTACGAAGGAAGTGGCTTCAAGGCTACTGCTGCACAGCAGTATGGGGCATCTCCTTTCCTGAGTGGGCTGAAATCATTGTCATCCAAACCATTCCACAGAGTTTGTTCACATGTTATCCGGACAGTGGCAGGATTTCAGGTATTATCTCTTTTTCTTTGTTACCATTTGATTTCCGTCTCTCTTTTGTTATTTGTTGCATGTTTCTACTTTTGTGAAACTTTACTGATCGTGTTCCTATTATGGAAGTTCGTTTTCTTTGTTACTATGTGATTTGCAACCCTAAACCATTCAAATTTCATGTTGATTTCTTTGTTCTGGAACAGCTTTGTTTTGCTGCAAAAACTTGGTACGGTGGTTTCTTGGGCCTAATGATCTTTGGAGCTAGTGAAGTGAGCCGGAATGTTGACCTGGGTGATGAGACTACAACCATGATATGCAAATTTGTTGTTCGAGCTTCTGATGCATCAATTACAAAGGAGATTGGATCGGATCTCCAGGGCTGGTTAGATGACCTCACTGATGGGGGTGTTGAGTACATGCCTGAAGACGAAGTGAAAGTGGCTGCTGTTGAGAGGCTTAAAATCTCAATGGAAAGGATAGCTTTGCTAAAGGCAGCTCAGCCTAAACGTAAGATTCCCAAATCTGATGATGATGATGATGACGAAGATGAAGAAGAAAGTGATGAAGAAGATGAGGATAAAATAAAGAAAAAGAAGGAAAAGAAAAAAGATGGTGAGGAAGATGGCAAACCAAAGGGACCTACAACCCTGTCAAAGTTGACTGCAGAGGAAGCTGAACACCGTGCTCTTCAAACGTCAGTGCTCCAAGAGTGGCATATGTTGTGTAAAGATAGAGGTACAAAAGTTAATTGACAGACCAAGCATAAAGAGGAGCACCAATCTCTTTCGGGGTGAATGTAACAGCCGGTAATGTCGTCGCATTTCCTGGCTCAACACATTTGGGATATCAATGAACAGAGTTGACTTTGCTCCATGCGGAGCAAATCCAAATCGAACCCACTCACTCACACCGTCGGTGCAAGTGAGTCTGGGTTGGTTATTCAAAGGGAGCTACTGGTGGGGTTTGTGACAACTAACAATGTGTGTAACTCCAAGGTTTTGAGTGCTTGGCAGAAGATTGTGGTTCCACGGGGACTTGGTTCACTTTCGGCCAAATTTAAACGGTCGCTTGCCTGGGTCTCTTGTACTTTCCTTTCTTCACACCTACAATCCCAACCGAGCATTAATTGAGGCTTTTAAGTAGATGTAGATGTTATTGAACAGCATTAGATCCGAGTTTGGCTTTTTACATTATAGGAAATTAACTTGGTTTTGTGTGAAAAATGTGCTATTAAACAACTAACTGGGGTTTGTCTCTCTTCTCCCCCAATTGTTTCCGTTTCTAGGCCCATTGGTCCTCATTTTGAATCAAACAGGAGAGTTTCACTTCTTCATGTTGTACTTCCATTACAGTAAAGCTTCTCACTTCCCCCCTTTATCTTTTTCCTGCATCATTTTCTAAAACGTCTTTTATGCGGATTTTCGATAGGACCTTTGGAGAAGATTTCTTTATCATGTTGGGCTTTATTATAGAAAATTTGAGAATATTTCAATTAGAGACTTTTCAAATTGGAGCAGCGTGCGCATTTTCTCTTCAAAATGATTTAGACCATGATCAAAAGGTCTATGGTTCTTTTATGATCCATTATTGTTTGAAAGATCCATTTAAACTACTCCGACGACTAAACACCTCTCAATTTTATCATGGCAAGGCCGAGAATTTCATTTACTTTTCCAGCACGCTGAAATGTTCAAAGAGGTTTATTAATCTACATGTTATAGTTGGGTGGTGGACTCTTAACACACCATAACCATGCCACATGCCACACCGTGTTACTGTCACTCCGGCGCCAAAAGTTTCGAGCTTATTAGGGCACAGATACAGGATTGGCAAATTAACGGGTGAGGTTCTTCTGATCTGCAGCTGTGGTGCTTATTAGGAGGATGAAGATGTTTTCTGGTGTGTTTTTATATTAAAGCCGTTTTAAGCTACTATTTTAATCATGTATTAGTCAAGGTACCTTTTGAATTTTTCGCCGCACCGCATGCGGCTCTCATGCTTATGTAAACTACTCTGACGACTAAGCACCTCTCAATTTCAGCTATGTCAATGCTAACCCAAACAAAGAAAAACAGAAGAAAAAAAAATGTGTCAAAGTTTTAGCGAGTGTCACGAGTTGCAACCACCACAATGCACAAAAAGTCACAAAGTCAAACCCATTCATAATTGTACTGGAAGTCATACCCTAAGCAATGAGCTACTAGTTGGATGTTGCTGGCACAAGAAAAAAATTATTTAAAATAGAAAGTTGATGTTCATGTAAATTGTTTGGAAACTAACATGATTGCTTCAAATTTAACCTTTTGTTTTTAAGTCGTTTAAGGGTAACTTTGTCAAAGCCAACTAACCTCCACCAATATGCAATTAAATTCTTTGTCCAATACAAAGACTTCAGTTTTTTACCTTCAGCTGGTCATGGTTGTCCAAATCCAACAACAGGAGGCAATTTTTTATGTGGTATGGGAAGAGATAAATAGAACCATAATCTACTTGGTTTTGGAAGCAGAAGTCTATTTTTGTAGCCATGAACATGATCACCTCATCCAGCTTAGTCTTCAGCTTGCTATTCTGCCTCATGGTTTCAATGCTTCTTCTTCCCTTGCCCTCCCATGGTGCAGACCCTGATCCGTTACAAGACTTCTGTGTGGCAGATTTGAATGCTTCCACATCAGTTAATGGCTTTCCCTGCAAACCCGTCTCGAAAACTACTTCTGATGACTTCTTCTTTGATGGACTGAGCAAAGAAGGGAACACGAGCAATCCCTTTGGAGCGAACTTAACAGCTGGGAATGTCCTTGCATTTCCTGGCCTCAACACTCTTGGGATATCAATGAACAGAGTTGACTTTGCGCCGGGCGGGATTAATCCGCCCCACTCGCACCCTCGTGCGAGCGAGTCCGGTGTAGTCATTGAAGGGAAGCTCCTTGTAGGGTTTGTGACAACCAACAATGTGTTTTACTCCAAGGTTTTGAGTGCTGGGCAGATGTTTGTGATTCCAAGGGGACTTGTTCACTTTCAGCTGAATGTTGGAGAAGGGAAGGCTCTGGCCTTCACAGCTTTCAACAGTCAATTGCCTGGGGCCGTTGTGCTTCCTTTAACTCTGTTTGCTTCGACGCCTTCGATTCCCGACCAAGTTTTAACTAAGGCCCTTCAAGTAGATAAAGATGTCATCAACACCATCAGATCCAAGTTTGGCTTTTAAAATACTGTGTATTATAAGTTCGGTTTTGTTTGAAGACTGTGCTGCTAAACTGGGTTTTGTCTCTCTTGCCCCTGTTTTCTTTGTTGTTATACCAGTTTGTTTCCAGGCACTGGCGGATCTAGTAAGGCGCAAGGAGGTGCAGCTCCTTCGCCGGAAAAATCATTGTAGGTGCTTCAAATTGCCCCTTTGCTCAAGTGCCTTATTTCCATTTTCAACATTTAAGTAAATGTCTTTGTCCTTTTACTTTTATTTATTTATAAATTTGTATATTTATTTTTATATTACTCCATTTACTTAAGTTTACAATGTAAATAAGAAAGTACCCCCCATTTGGATTCAAATAAAAATACTAGAAAATAAAATTCCCACCAAATCAAAATATGAAAATTCGGTTTTAATGCAAAATACGATTTAGGCTAAAAATGATGGCTCATTAAGTCAATATATACTTCATACTAAAATCCCATAAAATCAAGTTTTCTTATTTGATGTGTAAGGAATAAAAGCCGCCAAAAATTATCTTGAGAAAATGATTATTCCGAAAAACCATTTTTCATACTTAGTCAATATTGCACCTCCGCTAAAAAATTTCTAGGTCCGCCAGTGTTTCCAGGTCTGTTGGCCATCAACGGATCATACAGTAATAGTTTCACTTGTTCATATTGTACTTTCAGTAAAGACTGCAATACTTTCACTTTGTTTTCGAGGGGTGCCTCTCATAAGTACATCGAGGCGTCTCTGGCCATGACACCATGATCGGATTCTAGCTGAGACGTGCTTGCCATGAAGCCTTGGCTGGAGGGAGGAGAAGGGGCTGAAAAGGAAGGGAAGAAAAGGGGTGGAAGATTTTTCTTCTTTTCTTTTTCTTTTGACTTTTCAAGATATAAAATTATAATTAACAACATTAAAACATGATAGAAAGTGAAAAGTAAATTGATTCAATTATGTCATAGCCGGTCCATACATATTCGTGAGACGGAGTAATATTATGTAAAAATAATCAGATATTTTATATATATAAATTCTGGCAAGGACAATTACAATCCTTCTGTTACACATTTTAACTAAGCCACTTAAGATATTTTCTGGGTACTACTACTCGTACAACAAAGTATATCTAGTCAGATGATACATGCGAAGATTAGATGCATTCCTACAACTAATATCCTATTACAACAATAAGAATGATCATACATTTAGCAAACGCATTTCTACACCAGATGTAGAACCTAATCACAAGCCCACCAATTATGACTTGAAGAATTATCCCCTGAATTTACGTTGCTCTTTCGAAACTACTGCCGACCTGCATATGTAGCCACTCGGGATGTGAGCCTTGGGAATACTCCCTTGGTGTGTGCGAGCCAAATAGCAATCCTGCACCATCAAATGGCTGTGCACCAAGCTGAAACACCAGGTCAATTGGTAAGATCACATAGCATATACCTAAACAGAACTGTCTTTCCGTGCATTTAAAGAGTCTCAGTTTAACGGAAATAACCTAGTGAACCTATGAAACAGTATAAATTATTGCAGCATCCAAAAATATTTCTCTTCGTGGGACGGTAAACCAATGAGTTCACAATCTTACTGCAGCACCTACATTAGTACACTAACTGTGACAGAAACATCCTCCACAAGAACTAATGAGGTCACACTATCTTTAGGAGAAAAGATACACAATGTAATCAGCATGTCAAACACATACACCAAATAAGAGTTGAACGGATGAGAATATAGACAAGGATAAAAGCCATGGTGATGGTGATGGTGATGGTGATGATGATGGTGATGATAGAAAAGGAATGCAACCAAGCACTTTACACTCCAAGGGACATCAAAAACTAAGAAAATGTTGTTATTATCAGGCCAAGACTCCTCCGAAAGTTAAGATCTTTGTGTGGCAAGCGGTGTTGGGAAAACTAAATACAGGTGATACACTACAGAGACACTGCCCCTATACGTGCCTTAGCCTCTATGTAATAAGGCAGGGGAGAGCATGGACCATCTCCTCCTTCATTGCCCTTTCTCTCTAAAGTTGTGGGAGATGTTACTGAAGGAAGTTAACACGGTGTGGGTAATACCGGAAGGCTGCTTTGAACTTTTTTCCATCGGATTTGATGCTTTGGGAAGGGGAAAGAAAGCTAAAATTCTCTGGGGCAGCCTGATGCAGGCAGTGGTCTGGAACCTACGGCTGGAACGTAACAGGAGAATCTTCGAGGATTATAAGGGAGTGGGAGTGGTAGACTTACGGGATAGAGTGAAGTTTTGGGCTGACCTTTGGGCATCAACTTCCCTTGCTTTTAAGGATATATCCTATCCTACAATTATGCACAATCTGCTGGCTGTAGTATCTTAAGGGGTTGTCTTATGTTTGGTTGTTTTACTTCTGTGTTGAGTGGCTTTGTGTCTGTTTCACCGGCTAGTGTTTTTTCTTTTTGTCTGTGTTCTAAATGTCCTCGTTTTTATCCTTTCAAATTTGAATAAAAATGTCTCTATTCAAAAATAAAAAATTAAAAAAATGTCATCATGGAGTTTAGAAGAGATACCCTGGAATCTTCATCATGCATATAGTAAGGGCTAGATTATAGAAAACAATTAGCTTAGAAGGTGCCTTGTTGTCTGCTTATTCCCTTCAAAATGGCATAGAAATGCCCAAATACCAATCTTGAGGAATCAGTAGCATAACTGTGATGCCCAACAGCCAAGTTTACAACAAGAACAGTCCTAGGAGTTGAATGAAATTGCACTCTTGGACTAAATTTTACTGCCAGTGAAGTTAGATATTATTTACCAAGACTACTTGGTTGACAGACATTTACATTCCTTGATGTATCTCTGAGATTGAAGGGTTGTACAAAAAAGAATCCCCAGACAAAGGGTTTACAATCTAAAAAAGCAGCAGGGTCTTTGAAAAAACTATTGAACCAGAAATAATAATGCATCTCTAAGATTATATCGAAAAATAGTTCCAAACAGAGAGTCAATGGCTTTTATGAAGGTAATAAAAGTACACCAGACTTACATCTTTCGAAGGAAAGGCTTCAATGGTGGGATTCATGTTCATCCTTGAATTGACTGCTTCAAGCTTCATTGAAAGGAACTACAGAATCCAATTAACAAAGTACAGATTCAGGTTTAACAGTTTAAAGGAAAACCATGTCACCAAGTGCACTAGATTAGAGTCAGATGGAATATATACCTCAACCTGGTGCTGCAGTGATTGAATGTAATTAATAATTTCATCAAGGACGAGTGCTTTCCCAATAACCTTTTCAGAAGAAAAGTACAACATAAGTAAGGGGAACATGCTAGATAATTACCAGGACATGTTCACAATTAATCTAGTAAAGAAATCGGAAACAACAAATTACATAACAAAGATTCCCTATGCTAAACTATGTAGAACATACTACCTACACATGCTAAGTAATATGAATGACATAAAACCAACCAAACAACATACACTACCTTATTACATCCAGGAACCAAATCTTGGAGAAGTTTCATCCTCTCGCTGATCTTTTCTCTCCTAGCCTGCCAAAATGAGCATGGTATGCGGCATGTTTCAATAGTGAAAGGATCAAAACTGATTTACCAAACATGTCAAAGATAAAACGGAATAGGTTCATTATATAAAACATATTCCATATCAAGATCTAGAGAACTCCATAAAGAGCATGAAAAATTTGTTTGATGTTCTAGATACTAATATTGCAAATTCAAAAAGGACCAAAAGTACATTACCCTCTCTGCTAGACTGTGGCTGTCAGTAGCTTGTCCCCTTCGTGCCCTCACATGGATAAAATCTTGCTTAGGTGGCTCTGAAGGTTTAGTGCTTTGTTCAGCTGGCTTGTTGTCACCAGCTGCTGAACTTTCTTCAACTTCAACTTTCGAACCACCATTTTCATTTTGAGATCTTGCTAGTTTCATCCGTTTTCCACTGGAATCTCTCTGTTTGAAACAAACAGAAAAAGTTAAAAATTAAACATCAAAAGAGAAATTTAAGATTCAAGTAAACAACATATAAGACACCAACACCAATTAGAGCCTCAATCCATATCTAGTCTAATACAGCTTAACTCGCTAAAGATAACACATCACACCATGCTTGGATGCATTAATACTCACAATATCACTTCTAAATTACAGGGGAAACAAAGGTTATACAAGAACAACCAATAGTGATTCTTTATAGATAGCTTAAATAGCACAATCATAATTACACAAATTCACTACTTCCCTCAATTATTTGCTAACAAAATATTCACTAAATTAAGTTAAAATATAAAGACCCGCGCTTAATTTTTATTCCATTTCTTATTACTTTCATCCATTTGCCTCAATTCAGCTAAAGAAAACAGACTCACGCATCAAAATTCATTGCTTTAGTACTAATTTGCTCCATTTTCTCATAAACCAAACTCAAAATTGAGCCAAGCAATCAAATTTCACATAAAAGAGTGAAATACGAACCAAGCCACTGGCACTACTAGTGGAAACCAGCTTAGAAGACTCGTCCTCAGAGCTCACATCCCTTCTCTTTCTTCCACCACCGCCACCGCTTTGCTCAGTCACGGTCGATTCCTCCAACGACCCATCTCTGTTCACGGAGCTGTCTCCAAGCCCACCCAAACTACCCATTCGGAGACCCAACCCGCTACCACTTCCACCAGGTTCACCGCTGAAGGGCCAAATCTCTGCCAGGCTGTACGCTGATGGGTTAGCTGCTGAGAAGGAAGACTCGTTAATCAGTGGAGGATCCATTTTCTCAAAAGCCCGAATTCATTCGACCCGACCTCGAATCCGAATCCGAAACTTGAGCTACCAATAAAGAGAGAGAGAGAGAGAGAGAGAGAGTGTTAAGTGTGTGTACGAGCTTCTGAAGAGCTTGTGGCAGTGAATGAGGGATTTAGTGAGCTGATGGGTTATTTAACAAGTTATTTAGAGAGAGAAAGATTTGGTCTTTAGAGAGAGAGAGAAGAGAGAGGCATTAATGGATGATGATGAAAGTTAGAGAGAGAAAGGGAGGAAGTGTGGGGGCAGAGAGAAGCAGAGTGTGATCCTTTGGCTGGACTGGGAGAGAGAGTAGTGCGCATTGCGCCCACTGTGCTTTCTAACCACGGGACAGTGAAAGCTGTAGCCTTTTCAGAGAGAGAGAGAAGCGGCAAGTTTGGCAAGTGGGTTATTTTATCCGAGGAGGGGATACAGATTTATCCAGGAAAGCTACCGTCGGCATATTAATGTACCCGCTCTTCTGTAAGAGACACGTGCCCAACAGCATTTTCCTGGTTTTTTTTATTTGTTTAATTTCCTGTAAGTGTTGCTTAATTGGTTGATCTAACAAGGTATGGGATCAAGTGCCTAGCCATTACATTATTAGAAACAAGGTGGGGTCAAAGAGTCCAAACCCATATACGTATAATACTAGCACACATCTCTAATTCAAATTATATAGTTTCTCAGCCAATCACATAGTTACAAACTTTAACTGTTTCGGAGTATTTATCCTTACATATGAAATTTTGTGTTCGGTTTTCTTTTTATTAACCATTTACATTACATATGTAATTGATTAACGGCCCTAATGACTTAACATGTCAAATTCCATGTAAATAAAAATGACACAATTTAGAATAGTGCCTAGATAGCAAGTACACTGTATGGGACCCAAAAAAAAAATAAAAAATCATATGGAATAGTTCATGCCACATGCATTTTGTTAAAGTTACTGTTCATGTGAGAGAATTTTCAATTGGCATCTTATTCTGTCCAGAGATAAAAATTTGGGTGGAAACAAGGCTTGGTGGGTTGTTATAGTGAACAATACAAACCCTCCAAATTAATTTCAAATAATTTAATGTTGTGGAGAAAGCTTTTTTCTTTTTTGCCTATTTTTCATAGCTAAAATAGCTTTAGAGCACCATCACTGCCTAACCCCCCCTTTCTTATTTGTCACTGCCTAACTTGCTTAGCAGAAAAATGATACTCAGCTAAGCAATTATAGTTACACTAGAGAAAGTGTGTTTGAGATTATGCCCAAGATAGTTTTTGCCAACCTCATCATGTGCCCTCTATCTTAGAATCTTGCCCAATGCAAAGCAAAAGTTGACTTGCCATTGTGTCATTGATGGGTTTGTGAGAGAGACTAACTCCCTCTTGGAGCCTCCTATTCCTAATTTGGATATCAAAACGTGCCTCATTATCATGGATTTGGAAATAGGGTTAATGACCCCATTTCATTATCATGTCCACTTCATATATTTGCACCTGCCTGACATCAAAAGCGATTTCTATGCCTCTCTTGCTAAGTTTTCAATTTTTTGCATCAAGGGTTTGTGTCATGGCATGTATTGTTGCAGATGGAGCCAAAAAATTGAAATAAATGCTAGGAAAAACAGTTTTGATTTGATGTTTGGTAGAAAAGAAAAGAAAAAAGAACCTTAGCTTAAACAATCTGGTTAGTCATTAAAGGACTGTTACAGGTCATTTGCATCCATTCAAAATTTGAGCCAAATGAGACATCAGGTCAATTTTTTACAACAAGATTAGTATAAACAAAATTACCATAGTAATAATGTGGTACAGAAAGGTGGTATAATGGTTTTCTAAAAGTACTTGATATTTTTGCCTTCTTCCTCTCTTTTACAGGAATGATAGGGAGTCAAGCTCATATAATTAGTTGAGACCTCTACCTCTTCAAGGCTTCAAATTTTCATGAAGCAACAAACTTGCCTCTTTGCATAGTAGAATATGGACAGTGAGTTATACATATATATATATATTATATTATCGAAGTTAGGAAAGAGGAGGAGGAAAAACTCACACACGAATACTATGTGAGTTTTATATTGTCAAATCAACATAGATTTTCAAACTAAAACCTTAATTATATGAACTCTTATCAATATTATCTTTCAAATACTTATGATTTAGTGTTTGTTTGATATTGGTTGAAATTGAAGTGGGTTCTTAATTTGGAAGGGGAAAGATAAAATTAAATAAAGAAGAAAACAGTGCCACCATCATGCCAACTTTCTTTTCTGTTTAGGAACTTCCTGTTCACTTGGGAAATTACTAGGTCAACTTTTTCTGTCACCTGTACGTGAACTGTTAGAACTTATTATTATCTGGTACATTTGCAATATATGTGGCTACTTTATCAATGCAGTCAAACAAAAGCTCTGCATTTTGCATGTGATGGCCGTAATATCTAACAGAATGCTTGTGTATGCACTCAATTTATTTTGCTCAATCATTGTTCCTTCTTCATGTAACCAACAACTGAAGGGTTTGTCTGCAGAAATATCGTTTTTCATTTCAGTGCAATAAAAAATGGAAATTTTATGCCAATAGGAAGACTTTGAATTTTGAAGTCTTCAGCCCTTATTCAATTTATGTGCCCACATCAAGATCAAATTTCATCTCAATGGAGGCAAACCCAGTTGCATGCTTATGACTTTGATCAAATCTATGGCGCAGTAGGTGCCACAGAAATGAATTTTGGGCTAGGACCCAAGTTTTAGTCAAAGCCCCATTGTTTAGATGCACAAATTGACAAATGGTCTCCCAATTGCTTTGCTTGTGAAGATGATGCGGGAGAGGTGGCATTCCTTTCAAAATGGTCCAGAAGCTATTACAATGCTATCCCCGTTTCATACAAGTTTTTTTCGACTACAATAAGGGGATATGAGTGAGGGACTTAAGTGAGGGGTCCAATTCAACCATGTGTAAGTTGAAAATGTTGACGTTTAATGGTTGGATTGAACCCCTCACCCATACCCCATCCTTGTTGCCTTTCCAATCCTACCTATCTACAGGCTGCAACATCAGAGCAGTATGCCTCTGTTCTTAATTGATGGAACAGAAGGCCCCAATTTACAAGCAAGTTAAATGATTGATTTGGGGGAGGGGGTCCTAGAACTGTCTAAGGCTTAGTTTGGCATCCCCAAACCAAGCCTAAAGGGTTTGTGAGCGTAGCCTGTAGGGGCCTCTGAGTCCCTGACCAAACTACCAATAATATAAAGATACAATACAAGTTTGGAAACAGGACATATTTTATGACCTTTTTGGATGCTATCATTTGATGGATTAAATGCAGAATGCAAGTTTACTATTAGGCAGGCGGTGCAAGTTATAATGCACTGAATCTGAAGCATAGATCAAATGCCAAATCATCTCACATTAGATTAGATGGTGAAATCAAAGCAACAACCATGTAGCATGAGGTCCATGAAATATATCAACTCCTAAGATCATGAGAAAATTCAATTTATCTGGTGTGAAACTCAAATGCAGGTGATCCTATCATTCTCCTATGACCACTGATGCAAGAAGCCAAAAGAAAAGAACCAAAAGAAAAACACAGAAAAGCAACCAAAAAGAACATTGGGACAATTATATTATGATTTTATAACACTGATACATATAGACTTACAGGGCCAGAAGAAGGGATTTCATATTTCTCAATTAGACAAATACTAAGCCCCTACAAGTTACAACTAAGTAAATGTCTATGAACAAAAAGATGGGGAGAAATTTCCGTCTCTCCTATGCTTTCCCTGCAATAACCATTAACCAATGTACAAGCTCGAAAGAATATAACTTATTTTTGAGCTTTCCAGAACTTCCTACACTAAAAATTCTTGAGCTTTCCAACTGTTCAGTCTGCTCTTTGTACCGTTGTCTTAAACAAGAGGATGTACATTTTTTGATCCATTGAGAAATACAGAAACCCACTTACAGAGTGTGTCACAAAAGACCCAAAACTGGTTCCTACAATACAGTGCCAAGCTGGCCCATATACCCCATCAAATTCCTGCACAAAAATTGCACAACCCCACAAACCATTCACTAATTAGTCATAAACTCATAAAACCCACATCACACCAGTAATCTCAACCAAATCAAAGTTTAAAGTCCTAATCTGGATAATTAAGCTCATAATAACAACTGTTAATACCTTTTTGAGAGTCAAAGCAAGAGTCTTGGAGGTGAACTTTTCCAGGCTATCATGTGTCTTTCTTGCACATTCAACAGCATGGATCTGCATAAATGGTGGCATATCAGCTGAAACAATTTTCACACCATAACTTGCAAGCACATCTGCCAATTGAACCTGTGAGCCACGGAGGGATCTCCTTCTGCCACCGTTTGAGTTCAATGAAACTGACAATCTCCTATTATCAAATTCATGCTTTTCTTTAAAACCCACCAATCCCTCTTGAGCTTCTTTCTTCTTCTTCACAACCACCTCCTCAAATTTCTTCTTTTCCACATCTTTACTGGATTTTTGGGACTTGTCTTTGCAAGCTAATTCCTTCGTTGTCTTGCTCTGTTTCTCAATATTGGGACCAACTGATTTGGGCTGAGGATTTGATTTAATGGAAGACTTGGAGGAACCCATTATGGCAGAAACTGACATGGCTTTGGCTTGCAAACGAGTGTCAGTGAGAGCTGGGAGTGTTTGTTGACTGCTGGGTCTTTGTGAAGTACGAACTCTATGACTTGTATTGACTCTAGAGCTGTTGCTGGAAATGGAAGAGGGTTTACAGGGCAAGGAAGAATCTAGGTTATTAGATAGGTGTTGAGAAATGGAGGGCTTGGTCTGTTTTTTGAGGGTATGATCCATGGATGCTTTTGGTTCTGGTGCTGCTAAAATGCGCCGTTGGGTGGTCTGGTTAGCCATACTGTTTTTTTTTTTTTTTTGGTGTTTGGTGGTGGGTGGATAAATAAGAGGAAATGAAAATGGAGGTGGAGGAGGTTATGTGTGTTGATATGTTTTAGGAGTGTGGTCAGTGGTCAGTGGTCAGTGGTGGGGTTCATTGGATTGGGACTTGTGCGGTGAGATCTGGTTCTGTTTTTCTTGTTCTAACGTGCGCCGTTGGCGGAGGACAAGGGAACCTTGTGATGTTTTGACCGTTGACTGCAAGTATCTAAATGATCTTAGCTTTAGTGTGTAGCCTAGGGCAACATCTGGGTGATATTGTCTTACAATTTTAGCATAGGGCAAGAATTTGCGTGGGTACCCTACAAATCCTATTTGTTTATAGTTGTCACATGACTTTTGGGGAGCGTATTAATCGAACAGCCAATTATTGGATTTTTCTAGTTAGTTGGATCCCCTAGACTCAATAATAGAATTCATGTGGAGACTTTGATTGATCGTCGATTGAATTGATAGGAATATGAACTTGATAACCTTGAGAATCAGTGTAACAAAAGTCCAGAAAAATTATCAGTTGGCATACGCCTTCAATACAGCTCAATTTGACAACCCCTTTCGTTGTTGTTACAATTTGACAAGCTTCATTAATTTACAAAGATACTAAGATCGAAAAAAGAAAGGAACCCAATTGAGACAGGCTTCTGATCCTTGAAGTCACCAGAATTTTGAATCCCCTACGTGAATGCAATGGATGGCTTCATAGTTGTCTAATGTTCTTCATTCCATCCCCACGATCAACCTATAGCCCCATGGTAAACAAAGGGAGTGCATAACACAAATCTAATTCCACGGACTTGGAAGCCGGGCATCTCTGAAAGCAGAAGTGCCGCCAGACGCTGCAGGGGATGGAGAGGATGCCATGTAGTTTGTTCCTGACACAGATAATGTGGGAAGAGTTGCAGGATTCCCCTGGTGCCCTGCAGGAGCAAAGCGAGATGGACTACTGCCAGTAGCCCCCAAACTTGCCCGAGAGGGGTGTGGAACCTGCACAAAAATTTGATACCTGAAAATGAGTTCATGAATAGATAGCAAAGCAAAGAGACATTAATTGCAAAGTACTTCCTCATATTTTTAAGAATCTATTTTTTTATTAAGAAAACTACTTTTGCAAGTCCCAGACTTAACTTAAAGATCCTTAGTTTATAAGCTTTCACAAGACAATTATAAAACCATCAACATGGCAGTCAACACAAATGAAAGCAAAATCAGAACATGCAGAGACACTTCACTGGTACCATAGAAATTGTAGTAGGAACCAAAATACATTACCACATTGTGCTGAATATGAGTTGGCCTTCTGAGAGGAGACTCTGAAGATGGGGATGTGCTGTTCATCCGGAAGATATGGCGAGAATGAAAGTTATGATTCGAATGCTCATCACCTTCACACCCTTCCATCTCAAGATTCGCCTCCGAGCCCAACCTAGCAGCAGCATGCCTAGTCATTGACCCGGAGTCATTTGTTACATCCACTTGAAGTGATGCAGATGGGCGAACCACCATTCCTTGCATGCTACTTCGTCTCTTTAATTCCTCCTCGGCATTTAACATCTGTAAAACACCACGAACCAACTCCTTCGTATTGATCCTTCCCAATGTAACATAAAGATACACACAAATGAATAACGAGGCCAAAAAATTACCTGCTTCAAGACTTGTACTATAGTATGTTTCCTTTGATTCAAAACTTGCAGCTTCTCCTCAACTTCTCTTTTCCTTTTTTGCTTCTCATCTAACACATCCTCTTTGTTATGTGCCTATCATATAAACAAACAATAGTAGTTACTAAACATTGCTCAAAACTGCGCAATAAAAAAACACTTGATTTTGTAATCATAGTTCAACAAATCAAATGAATGCTTGGACTTGCTTTCTCAATGCGTACATAGATTTAAGTTGTTATGATTTGGTAAGCATTAAGAATCACAGCTGGCACTAACTCTCGTTTCTTTCTTCACACATTGATACTCCAAATCCAAATTTCATACTTCAGTGTAAGAAGAACATAAACTCATAAATACCCAATTCGAAATCAAAATTCTACTAATTCATAAAACTGGCAATTCTTGCATACCTCAGAATTGGGGTTTTCCACTTCATCCACTTTCTCAACCTTCACAGCTAGTGAATTTGCACCGACATCCACAGCATCGGAACCTTTCTCAGGCAAATCGGGTTTAAAAGCAGGAGATGCATCGGACCCATCAACGGGTTTCACCGTAAAATCAGCACCGTCCGATTGTTTCTCATCCTTGTCGACCCCAGAAGGCCCAGCTTCGCAATCAGCAACAACATTCTCCGGTGCTTCGAATTTAATCTTGGGGTGTGTCAAAGTGTTCATCTTTGGTGCTTCATTGAGCTGTTCTGGAACAAAAGAAGGGTTAGGGTTAGGGTTAGAGGAGGTGGCGGGGAGGGTGGAGCGGACGCGAGAGAGAGCTATAGAGCGACGGGTTAAAAGGGATTTGAAGTCCTTGAGAGAAATTTTAGGGGTTGGCATAAGCCATCGACGAGGTACGTCTGGGACTCTGTGAAGGTTTCCTCTGTACAACGAAATTGCCACCATTTTCGAAGGTTCTATTTTGCTTCAATCTCTGCTTTTCTGCTTTTGATTTGATGTTGTTGAATTTTTTATAAGAAGAAGAAGAAGGAAAGTGTTTAAGTGGGTATTATTAAAGATAATTAATAAGGGGTTTATATAATAAAGCAAACGCGGGTAAAACAATTCTACGGATGTCTTTTATTTTTGATGTTTAAAATCCAACAGAAAAATGTTTTTAAAAATTAATTAAAGTGTGGACAGTGCTTATTAGTTAATTATATTTAGGATTAAAATAATCTCAACAAATCAGAGTGGCGCAGCGGAAGCGTGGTGGGCCCATAACCCACAGGTCCCTGGATCGAAACCAGGCTCTGATAGATTTCTTTTTTCCAAGTGCCAACAAGAGGAGAGGCCTGTGATCAGGTTCTTATTCTCACAGCTTAATTATATAGAAAATCTTATTAAAAACAGTGGCATAAATTCTGGAGTAAAATGTAAACTCAGTAGTAGAATGGTTCTTCCATAAGTTGGGGAAACTCCAAGAACATCTCATTCTCTCTTGCGACCATGGCCTCCACAAATGAACTGTCACATGGAGATGTAGCCTCAACTTCATTATATTTTTGCATACCAGCTTGGTCTTCAATTTGGCTTTGCGGTATTGCTGCTTTCGATTGGTTCAACATGTCCATCGACGAATGCTCAGCCTTATCCTCGTGTTCTTGAGCATCACAGGTTGGAAAAAAAGCGTCTTCAAGGAGAAAATCGCTCCAGCTAAAGGCCTGCAGGGTTGCCTGCTCTTGCGCAGCAGATGAACAAGTAGAAGATGATGGTGATGATGACAATGTGCCTTCAGGAATGTACAAATTGGGAGGGGAAGATTCAATGTTGGTTGAGTTTGAGGCCTCTGTCACCAATCTTATGGCCTGCAGCTGTGTAAGAAGATCAAAGGGTTGGTTGCTAGATTGAGCGTTGCTCAAGAAACCGTCTTGAATTGGTTCCCTTTTGATTGGTGTCATTGTCATTGGCATCAAATGGCTATTGATACTGGAAAATCCATGTGTTGACAATGAATATGGTAATTCTGGCTTCATCAGGATTGCATTCTTCAGGTCTTTGTTGAGAGAACCTATTGCCATTCTCATTCCAGCTTTCGGGAGGCCACCGATGTTTCCATAGTCCGCTAAGATTTGAGAGAAGGGCTTATGAGTAACATGATCAATTCCCATTTCTGAGAGCTTCTTTTTCAGCTTAGTGTTCCAGTAGTTCTTTACATCTTTGTCTGTCCTCCCAGGAAGTTGCTGAGCTATTATAGGCCACCTGCACCACAGAATCCATGATAAAAAAAATAGTGAGAGAGGATCAGGTTTCTTGCATTAGCAACAGAAAATGAGGCTTGGGGATTGGGGCTTGTCTTCTTGCTTGGCAATCCATATGATCTGTTGGGTTGACTTTTGGATATGAAGTGAATTTCTCATTTTGTCATATCAGTGAAGGTTGTTGGGTCACTCAGGTATTGTGACTATAAGCACACTTGCTACAATTAGGAGCTAAAAGAGCCCCTACCTTTTAGCTTTTTATCCTGAGTACAATTTCTTGACAATTATTAGTTTGTTCAAAATTCACAGGCTCTCTCTCCAAAAGTTAAATCAGAAAAACTACGAACTCGAAACAACGACAATGCAGATCAGATCGGATACCATAAAGTAAAGATTAGTGAGAATTTTTCTTCCCAAATTCCTCCCCCTAAAGTATATAGTTCATGGAAAACAGCAGTAGAAGACCTATGATCAAATGAAATGTTTGTACAAGAAGGATAACAAGGACAATGTTGCTGCAATGTTAAGTAGTAAAAACAAGAGTGATATGATGCATTAGCAGTAAAGATAGGCAAGGAAGGAGGCTTTGGATGAACTATTGTAAATAGCTAGAAGTCTGCATATGAAAAAACCAAACCTGCTGCCTATGGTTGCATGAAGCCTGACAATCAATTCCTCCTCATGGGGTGTGAAGGACTCATGCTTGAGATTAGGCCTCAGGTAATTAGTCCACCTAAGCCTGCAACTCTTCCCACATCTTGTAAGTCCTGTAAACACTCATACATTAAGTTAATTAGCCAAGAAATGTAGCATATAATCCACCAACATCCTCCGGCCACCCGGTCAAGAAAGAATTGAGGAAAAAGAACACCAAAGTTAACCTGCTTTTTTCGGAAAAGCAGTCCAGTTACTATTTCCATGCTTCGACCCATGCGCGAGTATCTTTGCATCTTCCTCTTCAGTCCAAAGACCCCTTTTCAAATGCAGCTTTTCACAACAAGCAGGCCTCACCATCTTATCTGTGTTAATCCAATATTGCACTTAAAATCCTAAAAACAAAGAAAGCAGAAAACAAAAAGGAAATGATAAACAAAACTAGTCTCTGATTATAAAGAGAGATGAAACTGATTCAACTTCAATTTACTCTGCTTATGCAGATGCTTACTGAAAGAGAGATGTGAGATGAGAAGAGGAAAGGTACTGGTTTAAAG